GTCTGCTTGCATATCTATAAAATGAACAAAAATGATTTTCCCAATCTACTTCATAAGACAACTGTACCCATAAATTTTGCACAAAGACAAAGTATTAGGGCCACGGGATAGGCAAAATGGAGGGCTTGCATTTCATTGAAAAAAGAAAAGGACATATGAAGAAGATAGCATTTTTGTGATAGGCCTTGAAGAATAGGAAATATTGGCAAACATATATTAACAGAAAACTAGAATTACTGCTCATGCTAAGTACCACAGTGGATTTTTTGGGACATGTTTATATTGCACACACATAATAGAGCCATGTTTACTACTAGAATATTGTTCCTAGCTCCTACTTTGGAAAGCGTTTGGCATTTTGCAAAGAACAATGTTTCCTCCAGGTGCCCTGGCCTCTAGTCCAGTTTAAGAATTGCTACCACCAAAAATGAGACATAGGAACAAGTTCACACTCCCATCCACTGGCCCTGGTTCCTCCCTATGAAGCCACAGATAATACAGGTAAGTCTAACCTTTTCTTTCCTAGCCCCAGAACTTTAGGCATTTGAAAACCTTAAAATACCTTCTCTGAGATTGTTTTATTTAACTGAGGTTGAACACTTCAGTTCTTCCAACTGTTCTTACATGACATGGTTTTGATGTTTTGACTCTTTTCATTATTCTACTCACTCTTCTCTTCAATGATGGTGTCAGCACAGAATGTAGGACTTCAGGTAGTGCTGACCAGTGCAGAATATGGCAGAGTAAGATTATCCCCACTTCCTAGGACCTGAACTCTGTGTTTCTATTAATGCAGCCTAACAGCATATTAGCTTTTCTGGTGGCTATGTTATACAGTGGACTTACCTTAAGCTTTCTGTCTACTCAAGCCTAGCTCAATATGTGATTTCAGGTTCTTGCCTCGATTTTACACTGCTAAAACAAAGGGCTACCCTATTTCAGATATTAATATATTCCAAGTTTAATATGACAATAGGTACAGCTATTAAATATGATCATGAAATCTCAACTGACAATACTAGATAAGTACAATATTGTGGACAGTGGCAGCCCCTACAGTAATCTGTGCTGGTCAGATCACATGGAGAGGTCTGTGTCCAGTATCAGGGGTGAGAAACTCAAAGTATCCTCTAGGACAGCTAGGATGACCAGGGATTTGGAAAACAGCCTCCAGGAAATGGTAAAAGTTAAAAAACAGGGCCTATTTAGCCTGGGAAAAGAGTGCTAAGGCTGTATATAGCCCATGGTAGGGGCTTTTATCTCCAGAGTAACTTCTGGTTTAAGGGTCTCTTCTCGTAGCCTACTACTTCCTGCTCCTTTGGTCAAGGGCTTATGATTTCATTTTAAATGTGGCCAACCACTCATATGATATTCATGAGATCTTCCCTGAATCTGCCTCTTCCCCCTCTTATCTGCTCAGCAGAGTCAAGGTTACTTCCGTTCGCCTGGCCTATCTATTTCTAAAGGATGTTTAACTTTATATTAATTCAATACTTCAAAAACCAATGCTGAAGATCAGAGTAGAAAAGATCAGTTTTCTCCATTCATTTCTTAAGGAGCTGTATCATAAGACGGTAGTCCCTCAGTGAAACAGATTGCTGAGCTGGTTAACATCCCCAAGAATCTCCCTTTCCTATATTCTTTGCCCAGGTTAACTATGATGATTCAAGCCTTCCAGGATGGCAAGCAGAACACTAGAACAGCTGTTCCCCCTGCTGAAGACCATGGCAGACATGGAAAATCAACCATGTCACTTTTTCTCACAGAACCAGGACTCTGCCTCAGAATCCATCTTAACTCAATGTTCCAGGCAGCCACTACTGATCAATGGGCATTGGCATAAAGGATAAAACCTGTATATCATACATGCTTTATATAGCCTATGGAGTAGGAGGGTGTAAAGTGATTATGTAGGAATGCCTCCTGAGCTGTTGTTAACAGTGGGGACATTTATTGATACTGCAGAAGAAGTACTGAAATATTCCTAATCTGGGAATCAGTTTTTTTTGAGACACAGTCTCACTCTGTCGCCCCAGCTAGAGTGCCATGGCATCAGCCTAACTCATAGCAACCTCAAACTCCTGGGCTCAAGCAATCCTCCTGCCTCAGCCTCCTGAGTAGCTGGGGCTACAGCTATGTGCCACCATGCCTGGCTAGTTATTTCTATTTATAATAGAGACAGGGTCTCACTCTTGCTCAGGACCCAGGCTGGTCTCGAACTCCTGAGCTCAAGTGATTCTCCTGCCTCGGCCTCCCAGACTGCCAGGATTACAGGTGTGAGCCACCATGCCCAACCTGGGGATCAGTTTTTCATCTTAAATCCCAATTGAGATGGGATTCTTCCTGACAAAATATTTGGACTATAATCTTTACCTTCTCTACTGCTTGGTAAAGCACAAAAGGACAGAGCATAGCTCACGATAAAAAAGAGAAATAGAACTAAGGCATGGGGTATCCACACCAGGATGAAATGGTTAAAGTATACAGTATATAAATTATACCTCAATAAAGCCGTCCAAAAATAATAAATTAAGCACCAAACCAGCAGCATTTGGTACAGGGACATGAAGGAGGTAAAACCTTCTTAGAAATATCATGAGAAAAACAAGGCACTTAGTATTTGCTTCTGCATCTCACCAAAGTTCACTAAGAACTTCCTATTGATAGCAACTAGTTCAGTCCCTGCAACAAATCTGCAATATCCTGTTAGGCACCAGTATAGGGCAAAATAGTGTGGGTTATAAAAGAGGCTCAAAAAAACTGGGAATAATATAAATCTAGATTGGATCAGAACAGAGAATAATTTCTAAACCAAAATTTCCCAAAAAGTATTCTATGACACTCATTGATTCTGATTCACGTTAACAGATGTAACATGAAAAAACGGTTCTATAGTTAAATATGCTTGGGAAACATTGAGTTAAACAAAGTTGAAAAGGTTCCTTTACTGTAGGACTTCTCAGAGCCTTTAAAATTCTAGTGGACATTGTGATGGGATAGAGTATGTAGTGTTTCCCAAAGGAATTTGTTTATGGAGCCTTTTTTCCCTGATGAAGTATCCCAAAGGATCAATATTCCTAACAATATGCTATAGGAAATGCTGGTCTAAGCCATGCTTGGCTAAAGGCTTCACCAATTGCTTTATAAGGATAAAATTGGAAATTAATATGGAACTATAAATCATTTATAACTTATATATAATTATGTTTACATTAACTACACAGTAAAATATATATGGTTCTCACACCACAGTTTCAGTATAGTTATTTCAATAAATCTTAGTTGGCCGGGCGCGGTGGCTCACGCCTGTAATCCTAGCACTCTGGAAGGCCGAGACGGGCGGATTGCTCAAGGTCAGGAGTTCGAAACCAGCCTGAGCAAGAGCGAGACCCCGTCTCTACTATAAATAGAAACAAATTAATTGGCCAACTAATATATATATATAGAAAAAATTAGCCGGGCATGGTGGCGCATGCCCGTAGTCCCAGCTACTCGGGAGGCTGAGGCAGGAGGATTGCTTGAGCCCAGGAGTTAGTTTGAGGTTGCTGTGAGCTAGGCTGACGCCATGGCACTCACTGTAGCCTGGGCAACAAAGCGAGACTCTGTCTCAAAAAAAAAAATAAAATAAAAATAAATCTTAGTTAAATTGTCCCTTCAGATATTGTTCTAGATAGATAGATGGGGTAGACTCTGTTTATAACAGCCAAGAGTTTGGTGGCCAAAACTGGCAAAACCAGGCAAGGAACCACAATATTTAGGCTTGTTTCTGCCTGAGTGTGGCCTTTTGTCATACTTACACTTCTCAGGGCTAGAATGGTCATTCAGAAAACACCCTTCATGGCCATTAGTCCAGTCTTACTTGTGCACACACTCACATGCCTCACCATCATCACAGAAACTTAAAATTGACCCTCAATAATCACAACCATCTGATCCTCAATTTGATATCTCTGAATAACAATAACAACAAATATAAGTGCAGATTTGCTTGAACTGGCTTCTGAGAATGTAAAGTCTAGGGAGGAATTCCTGTGAGGCTGTGTCCAACCACTCTCCCAGGCCAGACCATCTGGGCCTCCTTCCTAGACAACTTCCCCACTCCAGAGTCCCTCTCTAAAGCCCAGAAGTTCACTCAGCGGCACCACAGTGAGGCCTTTGGTCATGGGCCAATTTCCAAACTCCAGAGCAGAGCCAGATCCAGACTGGTTCCTTTCCCTGCTTCTTTCCTTCCTTTCTCCTGCCCAGAAAGCCAGATTCCCACCAAAGCCTCCTTAAGAAACAATGACTTAGGACCCTGCTGAGCCACACCTCTTGCTTCCTTCAACCAGCACCTCTGGGTATCTGCCTTAGCCAGATTCTCCTCTTCCCATCCCTTTTGGGGCTTCCTGTACCAGTTCTCCCAGGCCTGATGGAAGGTATGAAGCAGCTAATCCAAGAAGCTGAATTTCCCGTGTTCCTTTTTCACACACAAGGCTCCATCTGCCCATTCAAGGAGGGTAGAGGGTCCCTTAAACTAATTAGGTTTGAGTGAAGAAACCTCTGTTTTCCATTTTTGTTCACTTTGGGCTATAGACAGTCAAGTGCGATAGGCAGCGGGGGTGGGGGGGTGGGGGTGGTGGTGGGAATGACTCAGCCTGAACCCCAGCTACCACAGAAGCACCTGCTTGCAGAGGCCACACTTGGGACCTCTGAGAAGCCAAGTCACCTCTGAGTGATCTCACTCCAGAAGCCTGCTCCCTTGGCATATCTTGCCTAGAAGACAGAAACCTGGGTGCTGCTTCTACCCCAAGTGCAGCTTTTCAGGCTGGTCTCAGAAAAGGGAAGCACATGTCCTTTCCCGTTCTGACCCTTGCAGGTGATGCAGTGACACACACAAAGGGCCCAGCTCAGTCAATCAGTCAGAAATAAGAAAGGGCCCAGCTCAATCAGTCAGAAATAAAGCCACAGGTTTAACCAGAATGATGGGAAAAGGCCAGGCCAGAAACTGCAATGTAAAACACTCAGACAACAAAGGATTTTATTTTTCCTTCAGAAAAGTACTGCTGGAAAGAAAAACAACAATAAAAACCCATTATGAGTCCTTGCCACCACCAGTTCTCTTGCATTCATCAAAGCAGCTTGTAGGGGAAAGGTATTCGCTGGCAGGGAGCAGACTTCTCAGCAGCCCTTTTGAGGCTGTGGGGCCAGTGCCACTCTGACCTTTGGCTTTCCAGGACTCCAGGGTTCCCTAAAATCCCAAGAATGTAGCTTCAGTAGTAAAGCAAAGGAAAATGGCAGTCTTATCTATTATTATAGCAGTTGCTGAGGCCAAGAGATACATGGGCCCTTGAATTTCTCGAGTGATAGTAGTCCCTTCCTCCATCCAGGTGTCCATGCCACAAACCTGGGGATCATCCTTAACTGCCTACCTCTCCATCCCACCTCCAAACAGGTATCATTATATCCTGCCTATTCCACCTTATTAGCATCTGTGTATCTGTCCCCTCCTCTTTCTCTGTTTCTGCTTCAGTGCAGGCCTTTATTTCTTGCTGGATTATTGCACCCACCTCTGTATTAGTTTTCCAACTTCCAATCTCATCTTCTACAATCTCTCATCCACCACTGGAATGATAACTGAAACTCAAATTTGATCATGTTAGTCCCTTAATTACACTTCATTTATTCCAAATGCACCCTTTAGTTTCTTTTGCCTGGAATTCTTGCCTTCACCTCATTTTGTCAGTCTGCCAAGCTTCTAGTACTCTTTCAAGGGCCAGTTCAGCAATGCCTCCTCTGTGAAGCCTTCCTGATCACTTTATAAGAGCTCTTCTTGTTTTCCTTTGGGCCTACCGGGCCTGGTTCTTACTTCTCTTGCATTGTTCACTATCCTATAATGCCTCCAGCTGTGCTAGACTGTGCAAGTTCCTGGAGCAAGATTCTGTCTTATTGAACCTAGCACAACACCTACCAGAGAGTAGGTTCTTACTCAGTGTTTGTTGGATGAGGAGATGAGTAATAAGGGGCTAAAGGCCTGGCCAAACCTGATCCTCAGTTTGCAACACAGGGAGAGAAGGGTGTGCCTCTCCCCAGGAGCCTGAGAAATACTACTGGGTCACAAGCCACATGGACCCACTATAAGAATCCACCCTTAAATAGAAAAGTCATCTGGCTACAAGGAGGCAATTTAAGGTGCCTAGACCATAGAATACATGTAGGTCAATTTTCTATAGTGGCTACTTGCTCTCTTTATTATGGTCTCTCTGCCTCCTTCAGGAGCTTCTGTGGCCCATTTATTGAATTAATGTCCGGTCCTAACCATCCCCATCCCTGAATGACAGGAGGCAGTAAGAGCCTGAAACTCCTTTCCAAGCTCATGTAGTCAAAGGGTCAAAACCTTGGCATTCTTCACCTTCTCTCAAGGGAGGTGCACTCTTTCTCAGAAATACCTTCCATTGATCTCCACTCGTTTCTGATATGTATCTAAAAACCCTCCTATACCCATGTGAGCCCATCCTTCTCCTGGCCATCTGCTGGAGAGATCTTGCTTGTCTCTGTATCCTTAAAGTACCTGGAACTGAGAAGATACATAGCTAATGCTCATAAACTAAAGAGTGTTAACAGATAACCTGGTTTCAGTGAGGCCAGTTTAGCATTTCTCTCAAGTATGCAGAGACCCTGTCTGGTGCCATATGTCATTCTTTAAGTCTCTCTGGCCTCTGAGAGCACAGGAGGCAGGGTGTTGCCTGACACAATTAAGTGCTTAAAAGCTCCATTTGTTTTTCTTGCAACAAATTTCTTCCTTTCCAATTGCTGCCAAAGAGAAGATATAGACTGTGCAGCTATACCAACCAGCTGAGCAGAAAATAAGGCCAGAGAGCCTATACCTGTTACTCAAACAACAGCCCAAACATGACCCAACTGCTCAACAGAGAGCCTTGGGCTATTGGGAGCTTCTCTAGATCAGTGTGGTATATGGCTTGGCCACAGAGCTGACACACTCAGTGTGCCTATCCCTGGCAGTTTCTTTGGGAGTATCTGTGCTCAAAACCACTCAGGATTACCTGGGAGATAGACACAGCAGGAACGGAGCTCAGTGGACAGGTCTCTAAGAGGAGCTCTTATTGTTTTCATAAGGAGACAGCAAGAGACCCTGGGGAGTTATCAGGGATAGGCCCAGGCCTGGTTCAGCTGCTGAGATGCAGCCAGGCCAATTAAATAATTGGTGTGATATGGAAAGGAGGTAAGCTATTCCCTTTAGGCAAACTCCCACCCCAGCCAGACAGGAGGCTTCATGCAGCTGTGACAACAGCAGCAGCAATAACATGGCAGAGATCTCTTCCTTTTCCTCCCACTAGCTGAGAACTAATGCTTAAATTAGCACCTTGGAAACACCCAGATCTGGCTATGCCTTCTCTCCCAGCTCCTGCCACTCCCCCAGGCCTCCTTTCCAAGCTTGAGTTTCTCTTTCAAGTAAAAAAAAAAAAAAAGATGTGCTCCCCCTAGAGTTTATCTTTCTAAATAAGGAATGCCTCTAGATCCTTTCCACTACTATGGGTTGGAGAGAGTTATCTGATTATGGAGCCCATATAACAGGCCTCTCTCCATACAGCTTGGTCCAGAAAGGGGTAATGATGCTAATAGCACCAACAATTACCTACTTCCTTGGGACTTAAGAAGGCAGCCCCTGCTCTGCCCTCAAGGGGGCTCACATTGAAGGAATAAAGAAATAAGCTTTTTATGAAATGTGAACTCCACGAGGGCAGGACCACATCTGTGTCTGTGTTGCTAACCACTGTCCCTAATACTTAGTGTAGTACCTGGAATAGAGCAGATGCTCAACAATTATTTGGTGAATCAATCTGCCAAATCAATGGCATCAGGTATTTATGATAGTCTTTGGGATGGGGAGTGGGAATCTATTATTTAAATAGTTTTTCTTCATAAATGAGAAAACAGTCTAGGGAAGAAGAGAGACTTAAGAGGTCTCAATAAATAATGGCAAAAATGAAAACAGATCATAGCTGAGTCTGAGCCTGGGATTCTAGTTTTTATGATCTACCCAAATACCCACAAACAGCCATTTTGCCCTCTCTTCTGCCTTTTACCCCCATGGTATGCTATCTTGATTCCTTATGCCCCAAAGTGAAGGTTCCTGGGGAAATGCCATGCAAGATTCTACTGGTCTCAACAACAAACAGGTAATTTAAGGAGTTTTAGGGTGCCTCTAGACTACAACCTGGGGACAGAGGTCAAGAAGCAGAGAAATGTTTATGTCCACCAAATGGGGGATGACTATTTTGCTATTTCCATAAGGCTCTTACTCAACCTGAACAAAGTATTCTCTTGCACACAGGGATTACTTTAGTCCTCCATAAAAGGGTCTGAAGGCAGCCACAGTTTTTCTAAGTGCCTCCTTGCCACCAGTACTTCTACTCCAGGGCCACACAGACCAGAAACAGCTCAAGACTCCTCCACCCAGCCAAACCACTACTCAGAACTTCAGGCAATAACAGAGGCACCAAGGACAACTAACAGAACCTGGTGGGCCTCATCCTGCTCTCTTTTTCTTGGACAGTTATTGCCTCCCTTCTAAGGGACCCCAGATGGGAGATGACAACCAACTCATAGCTTTCTTCTCCTGGTTCATTTGAACCTCCTCCTCCTCCTCCTTCATCCACTCTCTTTTTTGGTTCTTGATTAGATGCTTAGAACTGGAAGGACAATCTAGTTTGAGAAGCCACGTTGGCTAGAAAGAGAACTCAGAAAGGAAAGTTCTCTTCAGCTAGTCCAAAGTCCTTCTTTAAGTTTATGGGATGGACTTCTCTCCAGGATTTTCTGTCTCCCAGGTAACCCAATGATGGAATCAGGCTAACAAAAAGTCCTGCAGCATTTCTCTCTCCAGTTTAATATTGTACACTTCTGTAAAGCTTCTTTGTTTTGGTTTCTAGAACTAAGTAGTCACAAAACGGGTAAAAATCCACTTATTTCCTACTAGGTGGCTACTAATGATTCTCTCCACCATTCTCCAAAAGGTGTGGCATATAGATGGTGATGGGTCCCTGCCAAGGCCCATCTTGGCTGCTGTAATGGCAGGTTACTTGCCCAGGAAGCCACCAAGCACGCATGTCAGGCAGAGGCTGTGGGCCCAAGGGTAGAACCTATTCCTGGCCACCCCACCTAACACAGAGGGAGGAAACTTTAGGGAGCCCCAAAGCTTCAGAACTTGGAGAGCTCAGCTCTAGCAGAGCTCAGAGAATACAGCATCCACACTTTCAGGTTCCTAACAGGCCCTACCTTCTTCTAATTCCTGCTCTCGGACTCCAAGGGGAGAAAGCAAAGAGAGTCTGGGTGCCCTCTCCCTTCCCCCTCTCTCTATACCAGCTGGCTAGGCCTCTGCGTCTCCCATCCCACTGTCGCCAGGCTGACAAGAGTCAGGTAGCCCCCCGGGAGGTGGCCAAGGAGCATATTCTCCCTTAGGCCTGGCCTCGGTGCACCCGCGTTGCCCTCCCCTCCGCGCCGGCAGAGATGACATCATTCCTCCCTGACTCCGGGACCACGGACAGGCGGCAGGATCCGCGCCCAGCAAAGGACTCTAGGCACGTAGGCCTAGGATGATGGGGGCTCTTCCGAACTGGTAGGCACAGGCGGCTCCAGAGCGGCCCCACCTCCTCTAGCACTCTCGTCTGTACCCGTTTCTCCACCTCGCACTGTCCTTCCCGGTTCAGATACCCACAGCCTGGAATGCCTGCGCTCCCTCAGGAAAAGAATGGAATTCCCAGGTCCTGCACCAACCCCCTGCCGCCACTGGTCCCTGGACCTGGCCTGGTGTTCCTATCCATATCCAGCGGACAGGCCCCTCCTTTTCTAAAAGCCTATTCCCAGTCTCTCTTAGCCTGACTGCTCCCCCGCCTTAAGCATCACAGGCCTCTAGGGCTAAACGCCCCCCTACTTCGCATCCCAGCCCCCTGAGCCTGCTCCCGAAGGTGCCCCATAATAGTTCTTTGGCCACAGACGGGGCTATGGGCTTCCACTAGCGGTGTGCACCATTGTGCCCCTCACTTTTCCATCCGACTGTGCCCTCCGCCCTCACAGGTCCCTTTGCTCTCACCCTGTGTATTTCCCATGCTTTTCTTGTCCTGCAAGGCCCCTCACCCGGCAATGCGTTTTCAGAGCTCTCTTTGCCCCATTTGATGGCGCCCCCTCTGCATAATCCCCACGGCCTGATTCCCTGCCTCCCCCTCAAGCAGCGCCCCTTCCAGGCCCTGGCCTGCCCGCCGCCCGCCCCCTCACCAGCGGCTGCATCTCCGAGTGCGCGGTGGGCACCTGGAACCGGTCGATCTCCTCCATCATGGTGCCGGCGGGCGAGTGGGCCACGGGCCGGGCGCGGCCGGGGACGCCAACGGGACCGCGCGGGGCGGCGGCCCCAGGAGCCCGGCGAGTGATGCAGACTAGGCCGCCCCGGACCTGGAGGCCGGGCAGGCGGCCGGAGGAGTGGGCGGAGGGCGAGAGGTTCGCAGTGTGGCTGAGGCTGGCGTGGCTCCGTGGGCTTCCCTAGCGCTACAGCGGCTGTGGCCTGGCCGAGCCGCAGGTCTCGCCTCGCCTCCTACTCCGCCGCCGCCTCCTGTCAGCAGCTCAGCCACTGCGGTGACTCGGCAACTCCACTTCCGGGTCCGGGACACCGCCCGGGTTCTGCATTATTCATGAGGAGGTGGTGCCTGGGCACCCCAGCCCTTCCCACATGCAGGAGTTCCGAATAGCCGCGGCCGCTGGTCTCATTATCCTGAGGGGCGGAGCTTAGTGGAGACTGAGGCTCCCCGCGCTCCCAGCCCCGCCTCCTCACCAGGCGGGCTAGGGGCGTCTGAGGCGCCTGCGCCTGGGCTGCCGGTCGGTTGCTGGGTAACCGCGTCAGGGAGCAGTCGGTTCTGTACTGCAAGGGCACAGGGACCCACAACGACGGCTATCCCCAAAGAACCCCTGAGACTGGGAATTGAAGTGGAAGAGAGTTCAAATTTCCTGTGCGTGGTCGAGCAGGCGGACAAACTTCTTGTCTTCAGGCGAAGGAGCGTTTTGTAGGTTCTCCAGGGCTTGAGATGCTTCCTGCTTCTTGGAAGGCTCCTCATAAACCGCCTCGTAAGCAGGTAACGCACTGACGCACCTGCCCTATCCTGATGACCTCTGACTTTTGCTGCCAATGACCATTTACCATGCCTCTACTACTGATCCTTGGTCTTTTTTCTGTTGACCCCTAACCTCTCCCTTGTGACCTCTGGCTTGTGTGCTCACTAACCTGTGATTCTGAACTGCTCTCACCCACTGATCCTGGCTTCATCTCTCATATTACCCCTAACTCACTGTTTCTTACCTCTTTCCTACTTGTCTTTCTGTCACCATTCCCATCCCCTCACTCCACTCACTCCACAGACTCATCCTGACTAGTCCATCCTCCTTAACGCCCCCAGGCGCACTCCCACCAGTCTGTCCCTCATTGCCTTCACATTCTTGTCCTAAGGAGTTATTTGTCCAACCCTTTTCTGCGTGCTGAAAGCTGGGCTAGGTGGGGACACGGGCCTTGCCTTTTGGGAGCCCACAGAGGGGGTGCAAGAGAACTGTACAGGAGACACAGAACAGATTATGTGTAGGCATTTGGTTCAGATTTTCTATGCTGGGAGATTTGTGAAGAGAGAGGTCAGGCAAAGAGGAAGAGGAGAGAGATTCTTTTCCCATCCCTTCCCCCCTCCCCCACTGCACAACACAAACGCTGGCCCCCAACTATTTCTGCAACCTCATATGTCTCTCTTCTCTGTGAGCCCCTGGTCCACTCCTGTGACTTATTTAGCTATGTGAACATTATGTCCTTGTTGCCACCTGGCCAGATGTCATCCCTTCTCACAAAAAACCCCAAGAGTCACCTGCCTTAAACCACTGAACCCAGAGTTCTACTTTTCTCCTCAGCATCACCATGAAAGGTAAGATAGTCCCAGCTTCTCCAGGAGCTCACTGTGGTAAAGCCACTTAGTCCTCCAGGAATACTTTTTTCCAAACCATTAACAAATTATCACTCTGTGGCTAATGTGCAGTTTCTAGCTCTGTAAAGCAGGACTTTTATTTATTTATTCTAAATTTACCTCACTCAGGCCAAGGTATATTGAGGCCTGGAGAGCAAATCTTCATCCATGTTATTTATGACTTTACATATTTTGGTCTGGCCTCCTCCATATTAGCCTTTGCTCCTCTGCTTTTTTCACTTGGCCTTATATAGCAGATGGACCTATCCTTCTTAGATCTCTGCAGCCATGGGGAAACTGCTATTCTTGTATGGCCATGCCTTAGTTTTATGTTGGGGTTGAGCTGTGTTTTGAAGTTCATGTACTGTGCTTGGGACTACTGACCCTTAATTCACAGGCAATTTGTTTTTAAATCAACATTATTGAAGTCTGGTTTATAAACAATAAAATGGAACATCTAAGTTGTACATGTTGACAAGTTTTGACAAATTTACATACTTGTGAGCCACCACCACAATCAAGATACAGGATACTTAACTCAAGAAATTCCCTGTGCCTTATTCCAGTCAGTTCTCCCTACTGCCCCCCACCCTGCCTTCCCAAGGCTACCATTGGTCTGCTTTCTGTCACTGTAGATTGGGTTTGTCTTTTCTAGCAACTTGCAGCTTGAACAAGCTTAAGGATGAGTTTCTTCAGTCCATTAGGAGAAACACTGGAGACTAATTACACTGAGAGCAGAGAGGTAACAGCAGACAGGAAGCAGAGAAACCTGGGTCAACTGCCTCTGAACACATCAGCACTGCCCCCTGGAGGGGAGGGTTGTTTTAGTGCAGTAAATATTGGTGTCTGGGGTCTGAGAAAAGGCTGGGTTGTGCTAGAATATATTCATTATTCTCTTGTCTCAGTGAAGCCCAATTTGGGTCAGTGCTAATTGGGTATGAGATAACCTAGAGATGTTTAAGAAGTTTTCCCTGTCCTCTGGGAGCTCAGTTCAATGGGGGAGACTGAACACAGGCATACAAAAGTAAAGGAGAATGGGGTCCCTGGAGATGAAAGGGAGAGAGGCATGCAGGTTGGAGCAGTAGTAAGGCTTCAGGGAGGAGGCAAGTAGGACTCATAAGCCTATAGTGGTGAGGGAAGGTCAGGTTTGTTAGGGGATAGAGAGGAGTTTAAATTCCATTTGTTCATGTCGCTGCTCTGATCAGACCTTTTAGTGGCTCCCTGTTACTCTCAGGATAAAGTCCCCAATGTCCAATTTGCTTGATACAGCCTGCAAGCCCCTGCATGGTCTGGCCATCCTGCTTCAGATCTCACCATTGCTCTGTGAAAATTCTACATTTCCAGCAAACTGAACTTCTCTCACTTCCTGGAAAGTGATACCCACACTCTTTTTCCTCTAGGTCTTTGAAAATGCTGTTTCCTCTGCCTACCTGGTACAGTCTTTTCTGTCTACTGCCAGCTGCTCTACTCTACCTGGCCACAAATCTCTTTCATCTCCTATTCATACTTAAAGTCTCAATTTGACCTTCACATTCTCCTACAAGGGATTAAGTCTCTTTTCTGGTGGCAGAATAGGGTGATATCTCCACTAGGCTATAAACTCTGTTATGGCAAGGATCGTGTCTGATTTGGTCATTGTTGATTCCCCTGTACCTAGCACAATACCTGGAATATATTAAGTTCTGGGGAAATGAGTTGAATATGAATTCTGATTGCCCTGAGCTGTTCTTTGGAAATTTTCATCTGAGTGTGTTTGAAAGACAGGAGGGGGTGAACCTGGATGGGGAGACTAATGAGGAGTGACAACAAGGAAATGTCACTATATAAGCATGTTTTTCTGGGTTCGTGTTTATATATCTGCTTTGGCAGTATGGCTGTGAATGATTCAAATTTGAACTACATGTATCCATGCCTTAAGAGCTAGATGTTGGAGACTAAGGTAAAAAAAACCTGATGATGTGAACATTTATTTAATAATTATTTATTATACCCACTCTATGCCAGATACTGTCCTAGCTATTGGTGATATAGCAAGAAACAAAACAAATACAATAAACAAAAATCTCTGCTCTCATGGAGCTTATTTTTTAGTTGGAAGTAAATTGTCAATAAACAAATAAATAAAATATATAGTATATCAGATAAATCAGGTGAATAGGTGCCAAGGAGAAAAAGTGGACTAAGAAGTTCAGGCAACCAGAAGATTATATTAATAATTTAAATAGGGTAGTCTGGGAGGGCCTCACAGAGCTGACATTTGAGCAAAGACCTGAAGGAAATGAAAGAGCTGGCTATGTAATATCTGGGGAGGAAGCATACTAGACAGATGGCATAGCAAGTATAAAGTCCCTGAGATGGGAGCCTGCTACACATGTTCTGGATCAGCAAGGAAGGGAGGGGGAAAGCAGCAAGAGATAAGGTCAGAGAGGTGCATCCCTCTACCCCATAGAATTAATCAAATAACCCATGGAACATTAAATTGGTCATGATGGAACTCCATGAATCATAATTCGTAATTAAAATGCATGAATGTCAGGGACCATAAACCATGACCAGCTCAAAACATCACTGGTAATGCCCCAATAACAAAGTGTCCTTACTGAAAATTGTGAGAATGCAACTGTCCACATGTATACATGTGCAAGAGGAGCTTTGCAGCATTGCCAAACATTGCCTGGCAGCCAGACTTCTTAGTAGAAAACTGAATTAGAGTCTGTGTCAACTCCAGTTAAAAGCTAATTTTAGTTTATGACTAACAAATTTTAGTACCCCTTTATAACTCAGTTGGTTACCATAAAAAAAATCAAAGTCTGGAATTTTGCATCATTCGCCTGTAAAAGCCAAAGAAAAGACTTGTGTTTTGGACCATTTTGTAGTCTCCCACTAGGCCCCTCTGGGGCAATATTTTTAGAAGTACGATGTAGATGAAAGGTGACGAGGGTAGGGATAAGTAGTCAGGATTGGGTGGAAGGTCAGAAGACAGTTGGATGATTCAGAGAATTTGAGTTTGGTGATAAGGTCTGGGATCCATAGAAGAAAGGATAAGAGGTGAGCAAAATCCAGGGGAAGTTGTGTTTCTGTGCGTTCAAAGTAAGATAACCTCACTTTTGTGACCCTTCTCCTAAGTGTCATCCTTACACCTGTCTTCCTCAAACCCTAGATATGATCTTTTACCCCTTTACCTTCTAAATATCTCTCAAATCAAACCACTTTTTTCATATTTACTGCCACCTCCATAGCTGAAGCTACAATCATCTCTCAGGCAGAATGCTG